AGAATAGCCAAAATGGCAAGGACTCAGACTCTAAAGTTACCTACCTCTGAGTACTGTTACAATTAAAAACAAATAAGATTGAAGTAAGATTGTTCTTTTTGGGTCTAGTGGCCAGAGACAGTTTGGCAGACGACCCCCAAACACTGAATTCAAGCCACAGTACACTGTGAAGATAGTGAAGAATGGTTGCGCAAGCATCATGATATGGGGATGTTTCTCATACTACGGTGTTGGGCCTATTTATCGCATACCAGGGATCATGGATCACTTTGAATACATCAGAATACTTGAAGAGGTCATGCTGCCTTATGCTGAAGAGGAAATGCACTTGAAATGGGTGTTCCAACAAGACAACGACCCCAAACACACCAGTAAACGTGCAGCATCTTGGTTCCAGACCAACAAGATTGACGTTATGGAGTGGCCAGTCCAATCCCCGGATCTTAATCCAATAGAAAACTTGTGGGGTGACATCAAAAATGGAGTTTCTGAGGCAAAACCAAGAAATAGAGAAGAACTGTGGAATGTAGACCAATCATCCTGGGCTGGAATACCTGTTCACAGGTGCCAGAAGTTGGTTGACTCCATGCAACACAGATGTACAGCAGTTCTCAGAAACAGTGCTTATACAACTAAATATTTAATTAAGTGATTCAAAGGAAAGCAAAATCTTCAAACATTTTTCAGTTTATATAGTGAATGTTTGAGTTTGTAAAGAAGAATACAAACACTGCTATTTTTTTGAACAGTCTAATATTCACTTTTCTTCATTTTTTTTAGAGGAACAATACAAATTTGATATATTTTTCTTCATGTTTTGAATTGGAATAGAATGTGTAGTGTTCCCAATGCATTTGTGTGTATGGAAATAAAGCTATTAGAAGGATTTTGAGCTTTATTCACTTTTTTCAGCACACTGCTATTATTTTGAACACAACTTTAGGTGTCAGTGGAAGGAATTGTGCCCTATCATTTGCGGTTTTGGGAGGAATTGTGCCTCATTGTAGGTGTCAGCAAGAGAAATATCGCCCCATCATTGATGTCATTGGGAGGAATAGTGCCCCATTGTTGGTGATATTGGGTGGAATTGTATACTATAATTTGTGTAAATGGGAGGATTTGTGCCCCATTGTTGGTTTCAGTGGCAGAAATTATGTCCCGTTTATGGAGTCAGTGGATAGAATAGTGCCCCAAGGGCCGGATAAAAGCAAGCAAAGGGACACATCCGGCACCCGGGCCACAGTTTGGAGACCACTGCTTTACAGGTTACTAGTATAGAGTTATAAATTAAGTGAAGCCCTAGAGTTAATGCTTTAATTTTGACGTTTGTGACAATACCTCACATGTGTGGTGTAATCATCGTTTACATATGTGTGCCAACCTACATATTTGCATTTACATTTTGTGTATGTGTCGGCAAATGGGGGTGCTTTTAATTTTTCTTTATTACTTTTATTTATGTAATTTAAGTTCTTTAAGTTTTCACATTTTTTTTTCATTTAACTTTTTTGCTTTCACAAGGGGGTAAACAAGCCCCCTTGTGATATCTTTTGGCACGTGACAGGTACTGTTTATGGAGACATCAGGGGTCTATTATGAAGTCCTCCCTGCCCTCCAAAGCAACTAACCAAGCACAGATCATGCTTGGTTAGATGCTACCCTAGTTATAACAGCCAGGAAATGACAGCTCTGAAACCAAAAGTGACAAAATCCTTGTTGCTTCCAGGATCAGAGAGGATGTTCCTTCATCTCCTCTGTGGGCAGCCATCTTGATTGCTTATTATGGTCTCAGGTTCTCCCATCTCTCAGCCCGAGGAGGGTGACAGAAGAGAAAGATCTTTTAGAGCTCTGCAAAAATGTTAGTCACCTGAATCACTTTTACATGAAAGCCAATCTGCTTGATCTGATCCACCAGCTGTAAAAAACAATACCAGGATCATGGCTGCTCCAGCTGCAGCCATGGTCCTGATATAACCACTTGCCAACTAGGACAGTTATATATGTACGGCATAGTCCTTATATGCGATGGCAACATTCGTTTTCTCTTTTAAGGCTAAGTACATTCTCTGCAAGTACAGAAAATGATCTTATTAACCTCTTCACACCGGCCGAATGCAAATGTGCGGCCTCCCGGCATCTGGGTCTAGACACCGAGTGGCCGCACATTTGCGTTCTATTAAAAAAGAACATATGTGCTGAGAGCGTGTGCCCAGCGTGCACCCAGCACACATGTCCTGTACTCACGGAAAGGTCCCGATCTCCTCTTTCATGTGACCGCCGTGATGGCGTGTCACAGCGGTCACCTGACCCTAAACCCTGCCCCGCCTCCCGGCTTCTGAAACCCTTAAAGGGCCGGGGTAAAGCTGTTGTAAAGGTACATATTTTTTACTAAAATAAAAAATTTTATACTTACCTGCTCTGTGAAAGAGTATTGCACAGAGCAACCCCAAGCCTCCTCTTCTGGGGTCCCCTGCCGATACACTTGGCACCTCTACTTCTCTGTGTACCACCATAGGAAGCTGCTTCCTATGGTGGCACATGTGTGAGCTATCTCTCTAGTAGTGACAGCAGCAGGAGCCAAAGGGTCTCAGACAAGCTTATGTGAGATAGGAGAGGAGAGAAAAGACCTGCAGACAAGCACAGTGCAGGACTGATTGAGGTAAGTGTTTAGGTAGAGGAGAAGCAGGTACTGAAATATGTTTTACCCTAATGCATACAATGCATTAAGGGAAAAAACTACTTGACTTTAGAGAGAGAGAGGTGTCAAGCAGCAGTGGGTAGTTATGAAATAAATGAAAAAAAAACCAAATGTAAGTTGCACTCACAAGCATCCCAGAAACCAAGCCATTCCCTGAAATACACTGTGCAGGTACAGGCAAGCGGAAGGGAATTGTGTCTGTAAACTGTTGCTGGAGCAGACCGGAGCCGAAGTGCTGCTGCTGATACCTTTCAGTGAGCTGTCAGGAAAGCTGTCACAGATGCTGGAGCCTCAAAGAGGCGAGTTTCAAAGGCAAAGTCCTGCTTTCTTCCTTAGCTTCCTGTCGACATCCAATCAGGATGCAACGCGTTGAGTCATGGTTTCCTGGTTGCTGTCACCTCCAGTGACAAGTAAGATGTTTCGAGCAGTGAAAGTCTCCCTATGGTATTGTTTCTCCTGAGCAGTGCAATATGGTAAGAGGAAGATTTGGAGTTTGGATACTGGTACAGTCTGGATGGTGAACTTTATAGTGGGGTCTGACCCAAAGGCACAGCATGACCTATCTAGAAATAGTAGGTCATAACATTGTGACGAGCACAAGTCCATGTGGGGACATCTGGAACACCATTGTGATTAAAATCTGGCACCTGTCTAATTATTTATAGAAGCACAAGCACCTTTTGCTTTGTCGCTTGGTCACAAATGATATGGTCAGAGTGGGATTGAGTGGACTATTGTTTGATTACATGTTTCTTTGGACTTATGCCCAGATTCTCTTTCGGTGCCTTTTCCAACAGAGCTCAGACCACAGGAGGGCTAAGCAGCACAGCCAGTTAGTTGTGCTGCAGTGACCATGTGCTGGCAAGGAACATGCTGATAAGAGGAGAAAGCAGATTAAAGTTGGCCATAGATGGATCAAGATTCAGACAAGCTCAGCAGGGACCAGTCAAATTTCAATACATCTATGGCTGTTCCTATTCCAGAGAAGTTGGTCTAATAATCTAATGAAATGTTCCTTTGATTAGTGCTACAGATAGTTGGCTACAATGGTCTTCACTTTTTTTCTTTATTTTCACCTGGTAATCTGACCAGTAAGTCTGTTATATTTCAGCTTCCTCTAACTGTCCAAGCAGTCCAGAAAAAGTGGCAAAGTGAGACATATCATTTAATACTGAGGGGTGTTTAAAAGGATCAGCTTTTTATTTATTTATGCAAAAACCTTTATCCCAAAATGGAAAAAACTGTTGCTGTAAAAACAGCTGGAGTATGGCATGTCAACGGGACACAGACGATGACATATTACTAAACCGGCCCGTTGCCAGTGTCATGATGTGACCTCTGTGACCAATCACAGCAGATCACATGTCAATTGTATACAATGGATGGCTTCCTGTCATGCCATCCATTGTATACAATTAAGTTGTTAGCTGTGACTGGTCAAAGCAGCAGTCACATGGTACAGACAAGGCCATTCACAGCCCATCTGTATCATGTGATCAACTTTGCCCAATCACAGCTAATCACAACAGAAGACTGAATGAATACATTTCATTCTGCAAATATCAATGAAATACATTGGTATTAGCAATCATAACGTGCTAAAAAAAAAAAAAAAGAAAAATCCTGATCACTTGCCCAGAGTAGTTCAATGTTACTATGGTAACATTGTATTGCTTTGGTCACAGTGTGTTGGAAAAAAAAAATACAAAAAAAAAATAATGTAATAAAAAATAAAAAAATGATAGAAACAAATTAAATTATTATTATTATTATTATTTTTATTATTATTTTCACCAAAGAAATGTAGCAGACTACATTTTGACATACATTTATGAAGAAATTGTCTTTATTTGCAAAATTTTATAACAAAAACAAAGAAAAGTGGGTTTTTTTTCAAAAGTTTCAGTTTTTTTTTGTTTTATTTAGTAATGAATGAAAAACCCAGTGGTGATTAAATGCCACCAAAAGAAAGCTCTATTTGTGTGAAAAAAAAATGATAAAAATGTCATATGGGTACAGTGTTACATGACCGTGCAATTGTCATTCAAAGTGTGGCAGTGCTGAAAGCTGAAAATTGGCCTGGGCAGGAAGGGGGTAAAAGTGCCCAATATTGATGTGGTTAAATCTGCAAGTGCATTTGACAATGCCCTCTCCCCAGACTGACATTGCTGATCTTCATGGATGACTAGGTTTGTTATAGACATAGGAGCCACCTTACGTCAGTAAGTGTGTTCTCAGCTGTGCACACCCTTTATACAGTATATGAGCAGACTGATGCTCAGGATTCTCCCTTTCACTCTATGTACTATGGGAGCAGGGGCTGACTGACCATTTGGAAACTCGGGCTCTGCCCGAGGGCCCGGGGTCAGTAGGAGGCCCCATGAGATGCCCCTGGTACCTTTTTCATAGGCTTTTTTGAGTTTGCACAAGGACATAGGGGCCCCATGATCCCCTATTGCGCGGGGGCCCCATGAGTTGTCAGTCCACCCCTGTATGGGAGCCTGCTTCTGAGTGAAAAAGCAGAGTGTTTACAGAACACTAAACAGGTAGAGGTGCTATCTGTTTGTTTAGGGGAACCAGTTAGGGGGCATCCTGTTAGTTACCTTCTGTGCATCCAGTGCCCTCCTCTGCCTGCAAATGACCCTCGCACTTCCATTCCTTCAGCATCCCCTGCACTGCAGTGACTCAATCACTTCTGGGACCCCCATGGGGGGGGGGTTTAAAACACCACTGACCACCAATAATTATAGGATTTTTTGGGGTGGGAGCCGGCAGGCAAAGTGAAATGATCCTGGGATTTGTGGGGGGCTTCAAGTGCTTTGGGCTTATTTCCATGCAATGCAATTTCCAGGGAACTTTCACTAACAACAGAAGACTTTCACTTGGAGTCAGTGGGTATTTATATGTATAATCACCATTATTCCTAAATAAGCACACATACAGTGTATCACTTGGCACTTCTGTGACCTATAGTGCCACAGACTATCCACTATTTCTATTCAGAATTTTAGATTTTTTTATGATTTTATGATTCTATGTGATCTGAGACGTTTCATTTGATGTATTTCACTGGAATATTGTATGAACACTTCTATTCACATAAACACTTTATGATTGCATTTCTCACTTTTCTCAGTTTTCTCAGTTTTAGCGCTGCACTTACATTTGAACTGGTAATTTACAAAGGTTAAGTGAGCCTTAACCAACTCAATACCAGCATGCTTCTTTATTTTCAAAAACTTGTGCACACAATTACAGCATTTTAGAGTATGTACTGTCATAGGATTTTTTATTAGATATAACAGAAAGTAAGATAATTTTTTTTTTTTTTTTTTTTTTTTAGTCTTTTCTCTTTTATATGGCAAAAATAAAACACCCAACATTTATTAAATACCACCAAAATACAGTTCTGTATGTCTCAAAAAATGCTATAAAATGTATTGGGATGCAGTGTTGCATGACCGAGTAATTGTCAGTCAAATTGTTACAGCACTATGAACTAAACAAATTCCTTGAAAGGAAGGTGGGGGGGGGGGGGGTAGCATGCTGGTACTGACATAGTTAAGAAATACATAACTGGATTTTGAGTTTAGCATTAAAACAAAATTTGTTTTTTTACTTACTTAGTCCTAAAGTGAATTCCTCATAAGACAAGTATTCTTTCCCATCAGTATTAAGCTCATCAAAAAGAAGCTCCAACTCTTCAACAGTGCAGAAAATAACTTCACTGATTTTCTGAAATAAATAATTTGCAAGTTAATAAAATAATATTTACAAATTAATTCCATCCATGAGTATATTATATTAGGAAAAAATCTGTTTTCTTCCTGTGCTCTGAGTTTTTCCATTTAATATATAATTACATAGTTGATAAGGATGAAAAAAAAACAAGTCCATCCAGTTCATCTTAGGTGTGTATTCTGCGTCCTGAGGAAGACATCTAAAGGTTTTGTCAACACTTTCAGCTAGTAACCCTTCCTGGTGGAGGGAGTTCCACATTTCTACTATTTCCAAAAGTAAAGAACCCTTTCCACAACCAGGGGCGGACTGACCATTTAGACACTCGGGCACTGCCCGAGGGCCCGGGGTCAGTAGGGGGCCCCATGAGATGCCCCTGGTACCTTTCATAGGCTTTTTTGGGTGTGGTTTGAGTGTGGGCAAGGACACAGGGGCCCCATGATTTCCTATTGCCTGGGGGCCCCATGAGGTGTCAGTCCACCCCTGTCCACAATCTAAAGTAAAACAATCTAATTGTGGCCATGTGTCCTCTTCAAGGACCTTAGAGTAAACAACAGAGTTAAAGGAGTTCTAAAGACAGATAGTTTTTTATCTTAATGCATCCTATGCATTAGAGTAAAAAATCTTCTGAGTGAAGCATCCCTTTAGACAAGATTTCCCATAGGGAGTATCTCAGCAAAAATTACATTTTGTGGTAAGGGATGCCAAAAATCTGACTTGTATCTTATTGCAGACTTCTGGGAAAATCAGTAAGCCCCCCTTATACTTACCTGAGCCCCATCTCAATCCCCTGATGTCTCTCTCTCCTTATTGGCTCACACAGCTCTTGCTACTGTCACTCACAGCCAGTGAACAGGCGAAGAAAGAGCGGGGCAGGGCCGAGCCTCACTCTTTTTGTGACAATGTTCAATCACAGGATTGGGGTTTTGAGCGAGCCTGCTTGAGTGCCCCCCATAGCAAATTGGTCGGTGCGCAACTGGGGGGGGGCAGGACCACCAGCAGAGGGACCCGAGTAGAAGAGGATAGGAATGTTCTGTGCAAAACCATTGCACAGAGCAGATAAGTATAACATGGGTTTTTGGGGTTTTTTTTAAATTACAACCTTTAGAATCACTTTACACTGAGTGTGACTTGGCATGCGATTCACATCCCATGCAACTTGCAAATCATATGCCAAGTCGCATCCTATTGTCCGCAATTACAGTGGTCAGATCGGTGCGATTCCGACTTGGTCAGAGCCACACCGATTTCTAAAGTAGTACATGTACTACTTTTCATGCAATTTGCATAGACATCTGTAAGATGTCTTGCAATTTGCACACCTGAATCGGCATGTCCCCTGACTTTGAAATTGTGCGACTTCACTGTAAGTCACACAATTTCAAAGTCGGGCTTGATGTGACCGGGTGTTTAAAAACAGATCAGGCAAAAATGCAAATGTGTTTCCAATGTGTCAGAATGTACTCTGATGAACTTTGAGGATGTTTGCTCAGATCTTTTGATTTAATAGCCAGATAAATACTGTGTATAAAGCATCAGTAAACCTAAAGTACATGAGCCACATGCAATATATTCTTTTAAAATGTATTTATGAATGTCTTGAAACATGTACATACTTTGAAATACTGACAGCCTTGCCACATTTTACTTTAAAAAAAAACAAGCAGGAAGGTTGATAGAAAAGGAGCAGTTTTTTTCAAGTTAAAAAAAATAATAATAAACCACAAAAATCTTGCAATCTGGACCAGCAAATAAATTGGAAGATAAAGAATTATTTACAGATATCCACCAACTGGCAAGTGCTTAATCTTTCAAATTGATTTTCCTACCCGCTAGCTTTGAATGTTAGCAGTGACTTTGATAGCTTGCCGCCATACTTTTATAGTTTTGAAAATCATCCAATCTCCAACAGAAAAGTCCATGAGCAGCTGGCATGATACATTAGACTTATACTGCATGAGTTGTGTGATCCGATGCGCATATAGTTACACAATGTTGTATTCTTTTGTGCAGTAGTATTATTGCAATATTTGTTGGGTAGGTGCAGTGTGGTGCGGTTGCAGTGGTCCAGAATGCAGGAACCAATGTATTGAAGAACTTGAAAACAGTGCAACAGCTCCGTGGGGGAGCTCACCTGACCAGAACTTGAAGTCAATGTAGCAGAGAGTCAGTAGTAGTAGGCCTGAACTGAAGACAGCATCTGCCAAGGAGGGCCAAATGCGGCCTGGCCACTCCAACTCAAAAGGGAGCTTGCTAAAGTGCAGACGTAGGCCTGAGCTTTCACTACTCCACCAGAACCTCTCCCTGACAGACAGGTATGCGTGCTAGCCATTTATTTTTGCGCCACCTACAGTGGAGAAAATATAATGCACCGGCCTACATATGTGTTATAGGTTGTGCAGCAAATTACATAGTATTTAAAGAGTAACGCCACCTTTGTTGCGAAAAAAAAAAAACATTTCCCTACAGGTGATCTATTTACATTGCAAGGATTTTAACAAACTTTGTTGCAGATTCCTACCTTTTGTTATTTTGAAGAAATACCTGCTTGCCTGTGTCCATGTTCAAAATGAATATGTATGGGAATGGTTTTATAATTATCAATTAGCTGCTGCACCTGGAGGGCTCTAATAAGTAAACTGGCAAGGTTTGCATACCTTTAGACAAAATTTCCCATAGGGAGTATCTCGGCAAAAATTACATTTTGTTGTAGGGGATGCCAAAAATCTTACTTGTATCTTAGTGCAGACTTCTGGTAAAATCAGTAAGCCAATCACTCAAGCAGGAAATGAAATTTTCAGGAGGCGTTCTGCACACCATCTGTGTATATGCGTATGCATACAGCACATAGCATTGCATTTTACAAAGAAAATTACAGCACTGCAGGTTGAAAAGGAAAGGTAATTTTTAATAACATTTAATTGCAATATGGCTTGAATCTCAATTGTAAACGCTGTATTATTATTTTTTATCCCACGCAACCCTCCCACGAGTGACCCTTTAACCACCTCCCACCCACCATATAAGAAAATGATGGGCGAGCGGTAGCTCTCTCATTCTAGGAGGATGTTATATGATGTCCTCCCAATCTAAACCTCCAGGGGCACACAGCATGGCAATCAGTGGTGCGCTGTGTCCCTGGGATACAGCGGATCACCAATCACAGTAAAGAGCCGATGGCACAGGCACTGTCGTGATCAGCTGTATCCAATCACAACTGATTGCATGTTATCAAGGAAATGCCAGTTATAGGCAGTGTTCTCCTCACACTGAGAGCGCGTGAGGAGAGCCAGTAAGTGGCATTCCTCAGAGGGGACATCTACACTGTTCATCAGGGCACTGATGATCAGTGCCCTGATGATCAGTGTAGCCCCATCAGTGCCACCTGTCAGTGACCATCAATCCCACCTGTCAGTGCCCTTCAATGCCACGTACCAGTGCCCATCAGTGCACATCAATGCCACATGCCGCATAATCAGTGCCCAACAGAGGTGCCTTTCAGTGCCAGTCAGTGCCACCTATCAGTGCAGCCTACCAGTGCTGCCAATCAGTGCCAGTCAGTGCCGCCTATCAATGCCCATCAGTGTCGCCTAACAGTTCCAATCAGTGCCACCTAACAGTTCCAATCAGTGTCGCCTATCAGTGTCAGTCAGTGCCACCTATCAGTGCCGCCTATAAGTGCTGCCTATAAGTGCCATATATGAGTCCTGCCTTTCAGTGCCCATCAGTGATGCCTGTCAACGCCCACCAATG